ATACATAAGCACAAACTATTTTTCATCATAAAAATGCTTCATTAACCACTTGCTCTTTTAATGCTATACAAAAATTCCCCCCTTGAAATAAAAGAAGGAATTTTGAATGCCTCTAAATGCAGCCAAGCTGAATCTGAGCAAAGTCTCTGAGAGGGGACCAGGGAGGTGTTTCCTTATTTACATGTCACTTACTGAGCCTTGTGAGCCTTTTTTTCAGAGCACCTGATCCCAGAGCAGGATACCAGCACAGATGCCTCAGCAGCCTATAGATCCTATAGAGCAGGCTTTATCTATCTGCTTTTAATCTAATTTATAGATCATCAAGAATACATGTTAAAGGAGCCACAGAGAACAGCACTGTGGGCTAGTGCCTGAGCAGGAGCCCCATAATCTCCAGTGCCCTTTTGTTATAATGCCTTTAGCTCATCTCTGTGATGAGAGCTTAGGCTGCTGCTCATGTCCTGATCACACTGAGGTAGGGAATGGCACAGTCCTGGGCTTTACTTGTCCAGTCCCTGCATCTCTGCTCTGCACAGAGAACCTGTGCCTAGATACTTTTTAATGGATGAATAGAGCTCAGACCCAGACATAAAATATGGCCCAGGCATACACTGGACAGGTGCTATGCTGCTGTGTTGGGCTTGTTCAGGCTACAGATTTTGTGAGGCCAAGCAGGACTTGGAGTTGCAGATAGTCAAAAGTCCACACATCCCTTGGGGCCAGCTGCTGACCCATGAGACCACTGAAGGCTTTCCATTCCCCTTGCAGAGTTTACCAACAAAGCCTCTCTCCAAGGCAACTCAGCTCCATGCTCTAAGCTGATCTTCCCATGGTTTACACTGAACTGAAAAAAAGGTCACAATTGTGCCATTCTCTGAGTATGAAGAAAAGCTAAGTGGTTTTCTTTCTGTGAAGCCTGAAAGGCATTTCAGATCTTGAACTGCTGGAAAACCAGCAACCCTCCCTATGATTTAATTTTCAAAGACATTGACTTAATTCCCAGAAGGCAGTGATAATGTTGGCTGTAATAAAGAGGGCTGTGCCTAAGAAGAATAAGAATTCCCCTCCAACTAATTTTTACTGCCTAGTTACATGAGAGCAGAGAGCTCTACAGAGAGAGGGTAGAAATTCCCTCTCCCTCCTCCCACCCCAGATACAACCAGGTCTGTCCTAGTGGGACAGATCCATGACTGCTTCCCACCAGCTTTACTTTAGTGTAAATGTACTGACCAAAAGAGATTATCTCTTCAGTCTCAATAAGCTTTATTTGCCTCTACATCCTGCAGATAGTTCCTGGTTTAATCCTACAATGCTAAGCTTAAATGACAAAATGATCAGAGGGAAAACCTGGGGGAAAAGTAATGATTTCTACCTACTCAGAGTATCCCTTCTGAGGGAGTCATTTGCTGTGTCTGGAGGTGCATTTCCCCTGTTGCAGGGAAATAGGGGAGAGCTGGCATTTCCAATCATCAGCTTCTGAAAGGCAAACTGAGTGCAGCCTGTCTGCTAAAATCTGGCAAGGACTGAATTATGCAGAGAAGAAAGGAGGACCATATCATTTGCACAGCATGCTATATATTTTCTTTCTCTGTGTTCTCGTTATGCCTCAGCAGTCTTCTCTACCAAAATACTGAAATACAATCCTTCCTTCTGAGAGCACAGTGAATAATTCTTTTCTAGATAAATTCAGTCCCAGGAAAGCCACTGATCTTAATGGCAGAGTAGCTGATTGAGCTAAGTCTCAATCCACTTAATGGCCAAATAATCTGAAATCTGCTATTAAAATTTTCATCAAAAGATGCTGGCAGGGAAAAACAGACTTCTGGCCTGTCATGCACCAGCAGTTACTGCATGAGACCATTCCCTTAGAAACGATGTTTTTCCGTAGCCAGGATGCCTGTGTGGCTGGCTGGACCTTGCTGCAGTGCCCCTCGTGTGTGCGCTGTGGCAGCCGGAGCTGCTGGCAGCGCGTGGGCCGGGCAGACGCTGCTCTTGTCAGCCACCTCCAACGCCTCTCCCACAGCAAATGTCATATAAGGGAGAACTGGAAAACACATTTGACTTACAAAACTATTCCCAGTTGCCTCCTGTAGAGTCTGGTGCTCTACCTCCTCTTTGCTAGTGGCCTGTATTTACTTTGTTTCTGCCTCCCGTTCCCTCTCCACATCAAGAAGAAGGTGATCATTCAGGTCTGAATTGTCACTACACCTACTTCATTATTTGTTTTCTGCATTGATAAGTGTATCTGCAGTCTTAAATGAGTCTTAAATACTGATTCTCCATTATGTATTGTATTTACTATTTTATTTTAAATTTGTCTATATTAAATATTTATTTTCCCAAAGGTTGATATACTCCTCTGGAATTTTATCATCTTACCTGCATTTCTCTTGTTTCTTCAATAATAAAAATTTTCAGGACTGAAGGGAGATTTTGGCCCCTTAAGGAATGGTTTCAGTTTTCCTAAGAGAGCGGCTGAGAAACAAATTTGTATTTCATATGATTCCATGTTAACAGAGGTTGACCTTATCTGAGCACAGCCTTAAAAGGAAAGTCTGTTCAGTCTCAGGCTTGAGAGTACACAGACATGTGGACCTTATGTAAGTAGTAATAAGTGTTTACAGCATTGCTCAGATATCTTCATTGTTCTTAGCTGTACTTTTGCAATGCTTTTGTTTGTTCAATTTCTTTTCTCTACTGTAATCTTAATGTAGTCATAATGGATTTGATTATATGTTGTTGCTCATTCTTGGCTTATTACAAACTGCTGGCAAACAATCCATGGCTCAAATGTACTTCTGCAAGATCAGCTGCTTAATAATGCCAAATAACAAACAAGTCCTTGGTGCAGAATCTGTAAACTGAACAAAGGGACACATCTCTGCAGTATGCTAAACAAGCCTCTGCCTGCAGTTAGCAGTGTGACTGACAGGTGAAGATAAAGGGCAGCAGTGAAGAAAACTGTTTTTTGAAGCTTACACAAAATACTTTTTTCTACAGAGCATGCATCACAAATATAGCAGAAGCGCCATGGACTAGCATACAGGATGCGTGAAAACTTTGGCGTGACCTGGATGTCTGATTTCAGCCCCTCTCATGAATAACACCCTTGTCCCGAACTTAAAACAGCACAAAGCCTCACAGCGTGTTTGTGCTCTTCTCCTCCTGGGAGACAAGAGTCTCGACAGTAGATGCCTATTTGTGAGTCATTGGATAAGAGAAATACCAACACTAGAATTTATAACAGCTCTGTGAAAAATCCAGCTCCTCATTTCCTTTCCATTTTTTCAGGCACTTACAACAAGCTCACTTTTGCAGTCAGGTGCAAATACTATATTAAATCCTGAGATTTTATTTCCTTCCTTATTTTTTTAACAACAAAATTGAAGCATCTATTAATTAATTTCACTTCTGAGACAACCTGTATGCCTCCATCACTTTTATCAGCTATCTCTTGTCCCATGCTTGGCTTGTAAGCTCTTTGGGCCAAAGACAGGTCTTCTCCATAGTGTTTTTGATTGCCAGAGTAATAGGAAAAGAAAATAGTAATAATAATCTGCTGGTGTTTTTTTATAACAATAAATAAATGCTGAATGTTTCCTCAAGTGAACAAAACCACCATGTCTCGCTTTTAAAATCCTTAGATTTGAACCAATCACTCATGGAGTCATTTTCTATACATCTATATGATTTAGACTTGTATCCCTGTGAGACTTGTATCCCTGTGGAGGACATCTTGCAAGCACAGACTGAAGCTTGTTTGGCAAAGAACAAGCACATGCACTCCTAGTGCTGGGCTGGGCCTCCAGGGAGCAAGTGGTGGCTGCCCAGACACAGCTGGGTGACTCTGTGCTGATTAAACTGAGGGGTATTAATGCTGCTTCTTTAATCTGCTCTCATTCATACTGAGTCTGAGCAATGGTCTGAAACAGGACTGCACTCCCTGGAGCAGAGAGCCCTTTGTTAAAGGATGGCATTATAGGTGCAAAGCGGGATTTCTTCAGCCTTACCTGCATGAACAAACCAGCCAATACCAAATCACACACCAACATAAAACCCCAGCAAATTGATTTTAGGTTTAGATCAGACAGACACTGATCTATTTTCCAAACAAATACATGCAATGCTTTCAGTTTTCCCCAACTCTTCACTGAGTTGTGTTATTGTGGCTGAAGCAGCACAATGTGTAAACATTAAAAGGTCACCTCACAGCAAGCAGAACTGTGTGAGACACAACTGACCATCAGTAGGACAGAGATGAGATCATAGAAAAGTTCATGTTGGAAGGAACTTTTAAGGTCTTCTCATACAAACCCTCCACAGTGAACAGGGACATTTCAACTTATCAGGTTGCTCAGAGCCCCATCCAACCTGACCATGAATTTTTCCACAGATGGGGCATCCACCACATGTCTGGGCAACCATGTTCCAGTATTTTATCACCCTCATTGTAAAAAACTTGTTACTTCTAGCTACTCTAAATCAACCCTCCTTCACATTAAAACCATTGCTCCCTGTTCTATCACAACAGGCCCAGCTAAAAAGTTTTTCACCCATCTTTCTTGCAGGCCCCCTTTAGCTACTGGAAGGTACCATGTCTCCCTGGAGCTTTCCCTTCTCCAGGCTGAAGAACTCCAACTCTTTCAGCCTGTCTTCATAGGAGAGGTGCTCCAGCCACTTGGTAATCTCTCTGGCCCTGCTGTAACAGGTCCATGTCTTTCCCATGCTGAAGAAAAATAGACATGCAGACAGTCAGAAAATCCAGATGGTTTTTTCCTGTTTAAAATATTTTGGGGCATACATTCACTCCGAAAAAAAATTTGTCAAGATCCCATGATCTGAGTACACTATCCACTGCCATGTAGTGATGTCACAAACATTGGCATGTCCCTATATCCCTAGAGTTTACCACACAGAAATGGCAAATGTACCATGACCAATTTTATTCTGGAGAGTTTACAATACCTGATGCCTTTGTCCCACACTCAGTATTTTCTTACCAAGGCTGACACTGAAACCTGCAGAAGCTGAGTTTACTTGGTCACTTATGTGGCAATGCCTGCTCTGCACAATCCTGCATTAGGTTGCAGTTTTCTCCCAGGTGAAGTTCTCCTATGGCAGATGGGATTCCACCTCTTGTTCATGTCCAGAGGAGCTGAAAACAGCAGAAACTTTACTTAATTCGGCTCTCATAAAAATGAGCTCTGAAAATAGAGCAAAAGAACCTTTTCTTCTTACAGGGATACTGGAGGCCCATCTGAAACAAAGAACTTACCTTTGTTTGTGACTATCTGGCCAGCGTGTTCCACACATTCTCCCTATGTGTGTGTGGTCTTGTTCTCCACATAATCAAAGGTTGGGAAAAACCAAATGACCCATGGGGCAGATCTTTGCCCAGCCAAGACCACAGCAGCTCACTGTTGTTATCTTATTGTTGCTATCATATTTCTAGAGTCCCATACCTTCTGGGTGGTTTTCTCACAAGCATCTCCTCACAGCAGTGCTATTCCTGCTTCTTCATCAGGGCTCCTCCAAGGCTCTCCCTGACCAGCCAGCCCACCCTCTTTTATCCCAGTTATCTTCATTAGCCACAGCTGCCACCCAATTAAGGACATCATAGCTGCAGGCCATCAAGAGCAACTGGGACCTACCGGGTATAGGTAGGTCCCTATATATGCAGATATTCAAGTACTATATTTCCCCCTTTCCTTTTACTCACAGATATTCAAGTACAATACACATATTTTACTAGGACTCAAAGGCCACCTCTACTATAGTTCATAGTCCTTCAGCCTATATGGGGTAAAGTTATACTCAGTAAATTTAAGCTTGTTTCCATGAGATTGCTACTCCTTCACTGTATTTTCCTAGAATCACAGCCCAGAAATCATACACAGTGTTCTACATATATACAGCGATGCCTAAAAAATGCAGTACTGAAAAAAATGAAGATGTCTCAGAAAATTTTCTGCAAACCTTGCCTATTCTATTATTTTCAGCTACTGTCATCTGATTAGAAGTACATCTTCACAGACTAAAATGTATAGAATTGAAGGAAGCAAGCAAATGCTATTTTTGTGAGTGTATTATCTAAAGTAGGACTTCCATCTGTTTCAGACCTAATTATTACATCATCTTTATGTAGCTTGATTTACAATGAGAGAATTAAATGCTTATGTGAGTGGTTCATACAATGTGAAACACAGCTGTCATTTTTACAGACAGAACAGGACAAAATGTTCTTGATACACTGACTTTCATTTTTCTACAGTGTATACAAAAAAATCCCTTTGTAGTAAATATTTTCCCCACTCTCTAAGTAATACACAATTGTATTTTGGGGAACCATACATACACGGATTGCAATAAAATGCTGGATATTTTCATCTGCCAAAGAAAAGACTGAGTTTAGTGATCAAAACAGCAGTCTCTTGGAAAAGCATTCAGCTGGTTCTTCCTAACCTAGCTGTTGCCAAACAAAGACAGATTAAGATTAATTACAGTAATTAAACAAAGGGACAGGCTACAGCATTAGTAGCAGCAATGTATCACAGTCATAGTTCCCAGACACTTTATTCAACAGGAAAACAGAAAATCACAGGAGTTCTAGTCGATGTTATGTATGTTTTCTATAAGGATTAACTCTTCAGCTGATACCAGTTACAAGGCATGTGCATGTATAGTTTGCTACAGCATGTCACTCTTCAAAACTCCCTTTAGCAAGTAAAAGTAAGCTAGATTTAGAACATATTTTTTGACTAGATTATAACCCTCTAAAATAGTTTAATGGGAGCAATTTTTTTAAACTACCAATTTTTTACTTTCATTTCAAAATTCATCTGACAAGCTGTAGTGAAAAGAGAGGTAGAATATAGATTAGGGTCTAGAAAAAGCTCTTGTTTCAAACCAGATAAGGAATAGTCTTATTTTAATTTTTTTTTCCCTTATCCAAGATCTTTACTTGCTTTTGGGTTGAGTTTTGGTTTTGTTATTGCTTTTTGTGTGTTTGCCTCAAAAGAACTATACCCTGTGTGAGGCCTGTTTTGGTCACATCAAAGGTTCAGGTTACAGCGTCACCAGGCTCCCAGCAGGACTCTGCAAATTAGCTGTATTGCATTCAGAAGGCTTGGCTGTGTATCCATTCTGAAAGCCAGGATATTGGCTTTTGTTTTCTCAGAATGAAAAACCAAAGACTGTTGGATCTCTCAAACACACACCCTGTCAGGGTAGAAAGCTAGATTTAAAAAACATGTTCATATTTAGGATATTCCAAGGGATATAAATAGTCTTGGACCAATAGTTTATGGACTCAGCATAAATTCCATGTGTCTCCAAAGCTTCTGCTCTCCCAGGACTTTTCCCATCCCTTTTGTCCCCACAGAGCTGAACATAAAAGCAGTCTCAGCTTAGCAAAACATGATCAGGGATTATGTCAATTAAATTTAAAAAAGAATTCCTCTTATGTCCACTTCTTCAGTGTGGCACAGACACAACCTGTTTTGCCGGGGTTGGCACAGCTTAAGGCTTAGTCATTAGTCATTAGGACAGAAATACACACGTTAGGAAATCAATAGGCAGTTTTGCAGCAGAGAGGTAGCAGAAAATAAACAGAGCTTTACTCTAGGAAGCAATTATGCATTTTCCTCATTTAAACTTTGAACTGGAGAGTGAATCTGATGGTGGGAAGAAAACATTAGGCACAACTGAGGAGGGGAGAATGTGTCCCTTGCAAGTAATTTCCCATGAATAGCTGCCTGCTCTGACATCTTTTGATCGAGCTATTTCTAGAGCTAACCCTCTGCTTGTAAATACTAATGGTGCAAATACTTGATGCTAATCTTGTTTCAGAAATGTTTCATCTTGGCTAGGCAGTAATAAACACTGAACCAGAAATGCTAGGAGCCCAGCCACGCACAAGGCCTTGTTATAACAAATCAATAGTGGAGGTAGGTGAAGACCAGAAGGATGTTCAGATGCCTTTGTGGTTCTTCAAGAACATTTTGATTCAGTCAAGATCTGTTTTGGCTTTCCCTTTGCACAAGAAAATTTTAGCTTGTGTAAATGCTCACAGAAAAAAACTGCTAGTTCACAGGTTGAAGTTTGCTTGATGAGAAAAGAAAATTTGATTTGGTGGAGAGAACAAGACCCGTGTAGTGCAGTCATCCATCAGGACAGTACAGGCAAAGCAAAGGGGTAACTGCTCTCCCCCCAGGTACAAATTACAGGAATAGCCATTACACACTAATCATGTACTTTTAGAAAGAGAGTCTATAGTATGGGCCAAAAATGGATTGTGGATTTTTAAGTCTCCTTAAAGGAGTCAGATTTTCAGGATCCAAAGTTCTCAAGACAATCTCATTCTTCAGTTGTTTTTGAAAGTCATACTGTATAGATCACAGTGTTTTAAATAACAACCAAACTACAAGTTGGTTCTTATTGCAGTGAATTATTATTATTACTATTACTTGCATTGCTATTGACAAAGATTGGCAGCATGGATGAAACAACTGGAGACAGGTCTCTTTGAAGGAAGTTTTGTAAAATATGCAACACAAAAAAGACAAGCTCAGCTCTAAATAGCTTCCACTCTCAATGATGCATTAAGGGGAGAGAGAGAAATATTCATTTTCCTTACTCAGTGCGTTGATAGCATTGAACTTTCACCACTTATCTGCGGCTAAAGGCTGTCCTCACTTATGCCAAATAAAGGGTAATAATAGCAACAAGTGTCACTGGACAAAAGTGGTGAGTGAGTCTTTGGTACAGCCTGTTATTGATAAGACTCTGATCCCCTGCCCAGCTGAAGAACAAGACTACAGCTGCCAAACAAAGCGCTTTTGTTTGATGTGGGAGCTGCAGCCATGCAGGGAAAGGTGCCAAGTATGATTCTGAAGTAGCCTTTTAATAGCAGATAGCTAAAATGAGAGGTTGCACTGAGTGGGAACATAGCACATGTGGGGGGAGGCAGTTTTGCTTGATGTGTGAAAGCTTACTGTTTATACAAGCTGATGCACATGGCATTACATAATTGTAATTGGATGCTTTTTTGTCTCAGGAGACATCTGAATTGTAGCTTAATCATTTGTACGTGACATCCTGCAGTTCCTATTAACAAAACAAAAGTTTTGAATTGTACAGATATTAAAAAATCCCAAATAGAGTTTAGCAGGGACCACAGCTTTCTTTCCATAGCTTTGCCTTAGACCCCCTATAACCAGCATGATGTTTATGGAAATGTATTTCAGGGTAAATTATTAAAAATGCAGACAGTAATGCTGTGATTCTGTTTCATTCCAATAAAAAAAGAAATTGGTACTGTAGGATAAAAGTCAACAACTCATTACACAAGTCACCATCTAGTGGTATGTAAGAACATGAAGTACGGTTCTTTAAGTTTAGATGTTAAATAAACCTTGGGACCTTAGGCACTTAAAATAACCTCTTCAGTGCTGCTCCATATTAATTTGTGAATACATATATGGGCCATATGTGAATATATGGTTATTGCATATATATTCTGGTTTTAGATGTATGTATAGCTGTAGTATAGAGTGATATTTTGAGTAAATTTGGTGTTATTCTATGCAAAGTTTAGTTGCAACAAGGTTTTATGACATGTACTTAAAATTATGGAGCACAACAGTTTGTAGGGTACATGTTTTTTAGACTTTTTCTCTTCTCTTCATGCATTTATGTGTGCATTTCTTTATGTGCATCTGTAGCTGTATTTGTGTGCCTGTAGCTGATGTTCCAGAGCATCCCATGGAAGGGGTCAGTCTTTCTTACTAGGCAGCTGAGTTGCAATGCAACTCAGCGGTTTGCAGTGGCAAACTTGTGGTTTGCCTGTACTGTTTGGTTACTGCAGGAAGAAGTGACATCTCCCCCACTGCAGCTATCTGTTCAGAGGGAAAGCTATTAGGACTGACAGAGAAGTTCATTCTTGCTCATTATATTCCAAGCCCTTACAGATGAGGCAATTTTTCACTCTTCTCAGTTGTGATAAAAGCTGAGGACAAATACAGCATTATACTCTATTCAGCCTGTATCTAAAAATGTTCTGAATTTATTTATCTCTGAAGAAAAGCTGTATGCAAGCCAGCACTTTTTCTCTCCCCCAGTCTACCTTTCCTATTTGCATTTATATTTAGCATTATTTCACTTGGGGCCAAATCTTTGAGACATTATTTGACTTTAACTCAATCTCTCTTCCTGCATTAGTCACCATATGAGATTTGTCCAACAAAGGACTAAATTAAAACTTTGCAGACAGGATGTGCACTAGAACTTCCTGATGAAACAAAAAACACAGGGCAAGCAAAATATGACATCAGATTACAAAGGTATACTGATGGCAAGCCTTCTGCTCCCGGGCTTCCAAAATGCCAGAGGATACATGGGGTGGAGCTGGAGGCAGAGAAATAAGATAGGCTTGGTGCAAGGAAGGATGATCTGCAAATAAAGAGCTATGATTAGTACTTGGCCATGTGCAGCTTTTGTTGCTTGGACTCCCACAGAAAGAGCAGTTTGGCCTGTCACAGAAGCTAATAGCAGGTGCTGACCAATTCACCCTTCTCCCCACAAGGCTGCTAAGAGCAAGAATTTGACCATGCCATGCTATTCTAACTATCCTCTCCTTTTGGGGGAAATTTATCATGGAGATCTCTAAAGTTAAGGCATTGTGATGGGACATCTTCCACTGGTGAGTACTGCAGTGATTGAGCCAGACTTCATTAAAGGCAAGAGCACGAAGGAATGCAATGGAACAATCTTATAAAGCACCAGGTGAGCTTTGGGGATGAGTCTTCCTAAAACCTAGTCTGCAAAGCAGGGACTTTTAAACACTTCTACCAATTTTCAGTACAAGGAGTTCCTGCCTCCTTGTACTGAAGCTGGAATAAGGAGAAGAGTGAGTATTTTCTACGTGGACTGATGCACTGGATTTGATTCCTTCAGTAGTACACATCAGGGTAGTACACATCAGCTTAGTCACAGGACCTGCCTATACCCCTCACTTATACTGCTTTAAATGCAAATCAAATATTTTACCTTAAATTGCTGCATTTAGCTAATGCATTTTAGCCCACATTTATTTTAGTCTAGGAGCAGGAATATGGCCACTTAGTTCAGCTCAGCTCAAGAGGCAACTGCTTAGGTCTTAGTTGCCTTCTGGAATTTTAAAGTCTGCCTGGATAGTTCTCTGTGGAGTCTGGGAAGGGGAAGAAAGCTGAAAGGATAGGCTCTTGGACACAGTAATGTCCCTGCCTCAGATATCCTAAGAGCCCTGATGCCAGTAGGAAAAATGCAGATTCATACTTCCCCAGATTATTTACTAACCTTAAAAATTCAATTCAGTTCTCTCCTGAAGGAATTTCCTGGCTTCCTATTCTATTTTCTTTTTAAAGGCATGCAATGTTACAAGTGGCCAAAGGCGCGTCTTGCCTGATGTCTACTTTTTACGTGTTCTTTTAAAAAAAGGCTTTTTGCAGATGACATCTAAAAGGCAAGGTAGAACACTTGAATCTGAGGCTTTGTAGCACAAACACAGAAGAGTTGGCCAAAACACTCTAGAAGAAAAGAAAAAAATGGGTTTAGGAAATGCTAAGGCTCCACTGCAATTGCTGGATCACTGAGGAAGATAAGTAACAAGGATAAGCCGCTACAAGTGGTGTCAACTGGCACTGCTGATGTAAATTCAGGGGCACTACATGGATTTTCACCACTGAGAGCTGAGGACTGTGACTAGGGAGGAATGTGTAACAGCCTTGTGAGGCACAGATTTTCCTTTCTGTGGAGAATATTGTTTCAGTCTCTCCCACGGTTTGTCAGTGACTGCTCCCTGGTGAGAACATGAAGAAATTGTCAGGTCTATTAACCTTAACAAATGTAAATATGAACCCAAAATGTGGAAAAAATGCTTGGATCTGAGATGAATTTCATTCTAACAGACTGCACAGCTAAACAGTCACTTATGCAGCCAACCCAGCAATAGCAGCCACTGAAAAAGAAAATTGTTCACTTCCCTCCTTTCCAGTTGTCCTTCCTTCCTGTTTCTTGTTTTGGTGGCACCTCATGTAAACAGCTCCACTGAAGGAGGCTGGAGTCACTGATGTGATTTATCCCAAATAAATTACCTTGCAAATGCAGGTAATTTATTTCTTCTCCAGTCAAGACTATTGCTCACAATTTTTCTGTACAACTGCAAACAAATCTCACTCACCAATTCACTCACAAAGCTGCTGCTAGGACTGGAACCAGGAGCTATATCCTCTTATTTCTGTTCCCTGAAAGAATGGCATGTCCCATGTCCCCTGTCCCACAGGGAAAGAGGTATTCTTTCATCTGATAAAGGCTGTTCCTGACTATGGGAAAGTGTATGGCATCAGACTATGACCAGTGCTGCAAGACTGCTTGGAGCATGGCTTAGTTTGGGATGGAGTCCATAATGTTTACATTTCCCATAAAAACTGTTGCAATAAAAACAAGTGATCAAAAAGAGACTTAGCCCACATTTCCATGTCTGCACTCATACAGGAGGGCCTGAGGGATACCACTGCACAGGACTGGGATGGCAGGAGCTGTGGGAAATGGCCTATTTCTCCACATTGTGAAAAGGCCTTTACAAAGTTGCTTCCTGCAAGGACCATTGCCCTACAAGGGTTGGGATAGGGCTAGAGGGAGAATTGGACTAGGGAATTCTTTACTTGGCAGATCTTTTGCATTTCCTGCCAACATACACAGACATGCCTGCAAAAAATGCAGGAAAATCTCCCACTAAATTTCAGTCTGCCTTTTAAGATTGGGCAATACTTGCAAAGCAACTCTGCAGCTTAAGGTAGAGAGAAGCCACAGTTTGGTTTATGCTCTCAGATTCACTTCTCCAAGATCAGATTCATACAGAGACAGAAAAGTGTGCACTGCAGTTTTTAAGGAGTCAGAGGCTGGATTCTCCTTGGTGTTCCCATGGCCCAGTTATGTACTGAACAGGAAGACTCCCAGGCTCAGGCCTATAGTCTGTAGAAGCTGAAGGTGTTCCAGCCAGGGCTGCCCACGTGTGTTTCTGTTTCTCCAGCTGTGCCTCTGCTGCTGCCTCTGCCTCACCATCATGGCACACACTTCTGCATCTCAGCAGCTTCAACTGTGCATCACACAGGTTAAACTGCTGGGCAGCGAGGATGGAGTTAGTGTGAAGCGCTGGGCTCCTGTGTGCTGTCAGCTCTGTGCTCCAGATTGCAAAATGTATTCTATTACCATCTGTATGGCAGTTGTCTTTTCTCAAGTGGGCAGTTTTCCTTATCTGTCTCTGAGTGATGACAATCACTCATCCCTCGGGAGGGGACATCTGCTGATAACAGCAATTGAATGTCACTGCATGACTGATAAGGACTATAACATCCCATTATAAGATGCTCCGCCCAGAGGGAGGAGCCAAGCATTGCTTCCCAGATATAATCCGGAGGTTCTGAAACACCAGCACGGCTTCCCCACTGGATTTCCCAGAGGAACAGCTGCCTCTTCTTCCACTGGATCTTCAGAGGAAGACTACACCCTTTCTACAGGACCCCCTGATCCAACAGAACCACACCTGACACTCCAGGAGGACTGCAGCCACATTTCCAATTGGACTGCTACCAACACCCTGACCAACAGGGTGTCAGTTTGGGTTCTGACTCTGTCAGTGTTGTTCTGGTGTACTGCATTGTTTATTTTATCCTTTTATTTTCTTCCCTATTAAAAAACTGTTATTTTCTGCTCCCATATCTTTTGTCTGAGAGCACCTTAATTTAAAATTTATAGCAATTTGGAGGGGTGGGGAAGGTTTACATTCTCCATTCTCTTTCTTTTTACATTCTCTTTCAGGGGAGGCTCCTGCCTTCCTTAGCAGACTCCTGTCTTTCCAAACTGAGACATTCTGTTAGAGAGTAACGCCTTCCAGCCAGGGGTAAAAGTTTGTCTGTCAAACCCTCTAAGTGCTGGGGCTGTGCCTGGGAACTGGAAGTCCAAACCTGGAGACAAGAGACACTGAAAGCAGAGTAGGGGAGAGAGACTCAAATTTTGTCTTTTCCTTGGCTGGTTCATCAGTTACCTGTGAAGGTGGTTTTCAACCTCCAAGGTCTCATTGAGGGCTCGGGCGCTGGCACTGTGCATTCAGGTGCTGGCAGGAACACATCTTCCTCATTCTGCAACAGCAAACAGGATTCTCTCTGCTTAACAACCAAGTGTTCTAGGATACTTGCCCAAACAGCAGACTTTGAATTTCTGAGTGAGAAAATAAATATAAAATAAGAGATAATTCCAAAGCATTAGGAAAGTTGCCTCTATATGCAAGAATATTGATGAATACTTTCCATACTATAGTGGCACTATAGAGTATATTCAATTGGACAAGGATTAAAAACAGGACTAGATTTGTCAGAATAACTTTAAAGCATACATGGACATTGGGTTCCTCTAGCTCCATTTGGATTCAAAAAAATTTATACTTACAGTTCTTTTCTTCCCTTTAAAAGAAGACATTTAAATGGAGATTTTATTTTATTTTGGAGCTTTCTTGTGTTTTTCATTTTCCAAGTCAGAGGTAAAATGGGTAGCCCTTCATTTTATTTAGCACGAAATGAATTACAAGAAAGTGGCACCTCTAGGAATAAAATGCCTTCAGTCTGCATGTTCATGTAAGTGTAAAACGTACTGCAAGGCAGATTGCTTCTCCAATTTCACTACACATTTGTAATAATAAAAAAGTGGACTCTGAGGAGAAGTGAGCCAAGGGCTGTATGATTTGAACAGCTACATTAACACACAAAGAAAAAGGAGCAAAAGTTCTAGACAGTTCTCTATTAATAGAAAAATAAAACAGCACACAGAAATGCATAAAGAGGCAGTAAATGATAGATTGGATGATGTACATGGTAAGAGCAAATCTAGACAGATTTCCATTTGAAAATAAATAAAGGCTCCCAGTGGCAAGTAAATCAGGGGAAGGGAGGCAGAAACAAATGAGCAGACAGAGGAAGGGAGGAGGGATCATACATTGCAATGTACAGTTATTGGTACTTGGCTAAAATACAGTGTTGGAATGAATGAGAACCTATACCAAGCTTCTAATTTACAATACAGAGATACAGGGAACATTCCATCAGTGTTTGGTAGGAGGGAAAACGAATGCCTGAGTCATTCAGAAAGCAATGATAGCCTGTTTGCAATACCCACATCTGTCACACCACTCTCTGTTGTAATTACACTCCCTTGATGGTAAAGAAGAAGATTATGGAAAAGATTATCCCAGGGAAAGATACTCATGAATCTGCAGGCAACATTCAATGAACAATCCACTCAGAACTTGGCTAATCCGAGAAGCAATAGAGCATACTGAGCCACTGAGCCACATTTCATGGTAATAAAGCTAAACAAAAAGAAGAGACATACTTAGCACTGAGCAGACCTTTGATACCAAAGGAAAAAGATGGAAACTGGAGGAAAATACCTAACTAATACCTAAATAACACCTTCTGAGCCACCTGCAGGTAATCGAGGCTGGATCTTAAGGAGAGAACAGAATAGAACATCTTAGGAAGAAATCTTGCTTTTTGAATGTCTAGCTGACAAAAAACCAAAACAACTGTGTATCTCTAACTCCCACTTGAAAAACACCAATCTGAAAATGCCTATCCACCATGGAACAAAAAACCATTTTTAGCACTCAAATATGCTGAGTATTTGCAAATATTTTCTGCTATTCATTCTACTTTGAGACAACTGAAAACAAGCTGTAGCACTTCCAATTTAAACTTGATGGTCAGGGATTATATTATAGGTTGTCCATGTAGCACAGCCTTAGAAAAAAGATGTGGAAAATCAATAGGATTCTACACTAATGATGAATCTTTAATAGCTCAGAGTAGCTTGTTCTCTTCAACTGATACCATCAGTGTAATGGCAGCGCCAAGGAAATGACAGACTTTGCAAGATAATGATCACATTTACTCCTGTTTAGAAATAAAAAAAAAAAGGATTATCTCACATTATTTTAGCAGTACAAGCACAAAGCATGTTACAAATGCTCTGTTAAAAAAAAAAAGGGGAGAGGAGTTGGGAATGAAATTGGAAACAAATCTTACTGCTGGACTAAAACCTTGGTGATTTGGGGGATCTGTGAATTGGTGCCTCGAGACTTCCTCCGCCCCCTCACTTTCACCCAGAGATCCTGTAAAGATTTTTTTGCAAAAAACTGTTTAGAAGTGTAACTACCTGGTGTAGCTACACATCTTGCTGTGTTTTTGTAGATGTTTCCACATCTACATTTTCCTGTTTCAAGGAGAAAATCAGACAGTATCACCTCTTTGCTGTTCCACCTTTGTCTCTCTGTGGAAGCATAAAAATGCAGCACATGCCAGAAACTGCCAACACATCTTCCCAAAACAGACAGGGAGGCTATGTGGGTGCAAGGACAAGGCTGGAAATCAGTATTTTCCTCTAGATGAAGGTGATGTGACCAACCCTGCAGTGTGGTTAGGTCATGAGTCAAGACCTTGAAATGATGCACGTTTAGTTCCCAGTGCTAAAGCACCAAGCATTTTCCTACACACCACATGAATATGTTGTATGATTGTCAGAGCCTTACACTTAGAAAAATAAGGGAATTGGCCAGCAAAATGGGGATATGCAGACAGGCACCTGCCACATGAGCCTTCAGGACTGCAGATGCACAAGTACCAGTACAACATTTTACATCATTGTTTTTAATTTTCATCCCAAATCCCCAGCATCTCATATGGAAGAGGTTCATTGTAATTAAAGAGTACAGCAGCTGTTTCCATGTTGCAGCTTTGTGGATTTGCTCTGGTTTATGCATATTGCATCTGAATTAATGTACACTTAAGCTAGTGGGGGATCTCATGTGTAAAGCATCACAGAGAAGCTCATACATCCTCTTTGCACCCTGGGACTATAATCTATTTACATCCCACGGCCTCTTCTGTTTCAGACATACCTGCACAGGAGTTTCCCTTCTCTCAGGCTTCAGTTTGCACTGCAGCCCTTATTGTTCCTCTTCTCTCCTGTTGCTGGCAAAAGAAAGCTGTAGCATCTTTGTATTTTGTGCCTTGCCTGTAAGATCTGTGGCAGTGTACAATGTTTATAGAGTTTGAGGCCAGAGGGGATCTTTAGCTCATCAGGTACTGCTTTTTAAACTGCCCTCTGGGTAACTTGTCATTGCCAAAAAATGACACAGCTTCAGAGAACATGCCTGTTCTAGAAGTCATTGAAAGATGGAGAATCTATCACTTCACTAGATAGTTTGTGTCAATCACTCCTACCAGAACAACCTATGTCTTGTTTTTAGTTTGAATGTGCTGTCCTTTAGCTTCATGTTTCTTTCTGTACCCTTGCTTGCTAGATTAAATGGGTGATTCACTCACAGTATTTTCTCTCTAGTATGTGATTATTCTGTGACTAAGTTGTTACTTTTCTCATAGATTCATTCTGTAGTGCCCAGCACCAAATGCATGATCAGTCTTTATACTGTTCCTTGGAGAGAAACAAGTTAGATCACTTCTATCCTCTTTAATTTATTCAATTAAACATGTTTATTACCAAAATAAAACCAGCTAATTACTCCCTGGCTAACTATCCTTCTTGACTGCTTTTATAGTTTCACTGACCTGCCATGGTGTGCTGCTACCTGGAACAATGTGCCAGTAATTAAATCAAGTATTAACCAGCAGACATTGACATAAAAGTATTCATAATTTCAGCTACTATCAAAGAGAAGTCTGGACTGCTGGTAACAGCAGTTACCAGAAGATTTTAAAGGCTGGAGGGCATTTTCAGTACTTACACTGAGTGACATGCTCACTGTGATGGCTTAGTCTAAAATAAAGGTTGTCTAAAGCACAATTGTGCACTTTTGGCATAGCAGCATTTCAGAGCTAGCAGCTGGGTGGGAAACATGGAAGCACCAACATGACCCTTTTAGGTTTCCCTGTAAAAGCCAACAGCCAGAGGGCTTCAGAGGCATTCCCACCTACCTGTCAAAGCCAAGGTGCAGCAGTCTGAATGGGCTGAGCAAAGCTGAGGGTGCTGGGAATGCCAGCTGTTTGCTCCATCACTGGAGCTCCAGGGACACTGGTCAGTGCAGAATCTTGTCCCTCAATCAGCCCCCAGCCTTGCCAGGTGCCTGCAGGCAGCTCTAGCTCTGGAGGGCAGGGCTGTCATTCCCTCAGTGAACATGCTTGCAGATTTTTTTTCCAACCAGCTTAATTTCATTGATCCTGCTTAAGGGCAGGTCACTACCCACATTTACATGAAGCAAATTGGAAGGGCAGAGAACTGAAAGAGAGGATGTGGAAGCTGGCAGGAGTGCCTTTTTAAAAATGGTAAAAGGTTATGTTAGAAGAGAGTCAGTTATCTACACAAAGTGTAGTGGTCAGGTTTACCAGCTCTACTGTGAGTCACTTTTAGCACCAGACTACCTTCAATTCACTACGGGTTTATTCTAGTAAGACAAATGGTTTCATTCCTGATTATAATGTTGAAAGCAAGAGCGTATAGACAAAGACAACACAAAGTCATCCTGAGCAGCACTTTGCATTTGAAATCTCACTTAACTGCTGCCTTTGCTCTTTGAAGGATATTACACTGGCATCCTGAATTGCTGGTTCTTAGATTTCAATGAAAGTTTACAAATTTACAAAGTTACTCCTAGCCACAGGGACAACCAGCTGTAAAAAAAAAAAAGAAACCAAACCAAACCAACAAAAGAACAAAATAACAACAACAACAACAAAACACCAAAAAACAAAACCCTAAACCAAACAACCACCGCCAAAACAAAGCAAGATACCCCCCAAAACCCAATAAGGAACATTCATTCATTTTAAAATTTAAAATTATATTTCTATTTTCTTCTGTTCATTAAATTCTGTATGTGTACAACTGAAACTAACTTATTTGAAGTGCTGCCTTAAAATAATTGATATTCAGTCCCTTTTTTTGAAATGTTGAAGTTTGTTCACAAAAGTAAAATATTCTTCCTAGTCCTGCATTCATGGTTGGATTGAAATATAAACTTCAGAGATATGAAACAACTTTGGAGGAAAGGAAGAATGTTAGTTTATTCCAAAATACAGACTTCCATACATGAAATAGGAAAACAGATTCTAATATAAGATCAAGATTTTCAGGATCTTAATTTACAGGGGTTTTGAGATAACCACGTTGCAGAGAAATTCCTCAACTTTTCTGTGCACTCAAGGATGACAAAATGAAAACTGCCATGTAATTCAGAAACACATTTGGCAAAAATACAAGAGATAATTTAAATTTTCATATTATACATTCAAGGCTGTACAATGAGCCATATATAGCTTCCCTTTTTGTATTATGCACTATATGGACCAGGAGATTATTTAGAATAATATTAATTTTCATGCTATAATAATATGCACTGCTTTATGGCTATATATTGTTTATATCTTCCAGTATTGCTGGTGTGATTCCATGTTGCCTTCAAAGTAAGCAACAATGTGGAGAATAATAAAGGGACTGTGCACCTACACATACAGGTATTGGAACATTTTAATATCTCTGTGTATTGGGACATCAGTGGCCTTTTTAATTAGAAAAAAATTTTAAAAAACCTTTTGTGCTTATAAATTACAGCCTAATTCCAAGTGGACCTTGGACAAAATTATTAATACCTCTGTCATGATGATGTGACCTGACATTCTGCACTTCATTGTTTCTGAAGGAGTCACTTCATCACTTTCTGTGCTTTCCTGTTTTTTAGCAATAAAAAAATTTGTTCTTTTAACTGTGCTGCACTTATGTTTGTTATGGATTCCACTCTGCTGTTTTACTTCTGATTGGCTGTATTTAACAACTGAGGTTCTTTGCAATAACTACAATAAGCCTTATAACAATTATTGCTACCTTTACTGATCCTGCAAAATTATTTTTCCATTTATTTGGGCAATTGCAAAGCTCTTTCCACTTAGGGAGTGTATTGTGATTTACTGAAGAAATTACTGCTGCCATCAGTGCCAAAATTATGATGTCTATTAAGAATGTAGTTCAGCCAATGAAAAATGCTATGGTAGTTAGACTTAATCTTCAGTTAGACACATATTAGGTACTGTGTTCTATATATAACAGACATGATTTAGTTATAATAAATATATGTGATAAAATGGTCTTTATTTTCTGGGAGCTTGAATACACAGGGTAATCTTAGCAATAATTCTTGAAGGTGGATTTCAACTCTACTGAAAATATGCATCATACTTTTTTAGTGAGGGTTAAAATTCTCTTCATATAAAATGGAGAAAGAAATAGAGGATTCTGCAGTTTAAAAAGTTCTACACAAATGTAAAATTATTTTTTGGATGGAGATAATACCTCAGAGCTATCTAGGGAGAAATGAAGCTTCATCAAAGGCAGGTTTGACTCAGTAGTTCAGAAGCCCCCCATGTCAGAGTCCTCTGCCATCCCCAGAGGAGGGGGGTGAAGTTTTCAATAAGCCCTGCTGTAATAATGTCTGGAAACTTCCAAGACTTGTCTGAAAAGTCTGTGCTTCACAGCTCCTTTATGCACACAATAGGTACTAATATTCAGCAATAAAGTACCCTTATGTCTCTTTGTGTCAGGTATTTCATTTTTACACAGCTATTAAAAGCACTTCACAAAAGATAGCTTTTTTCCTTTTTGTGAATTGATCCTCATCTGGGTTACAAGTAGAAGAAACATCAGTAGTTATTTATGCAGTGCCATAACTGTGATTTTACTTCAAGGTAGTCTTGGGAAAACTAAAAACAAAACCAAAGTAATGTCTTTGCTTTGCAAGCTTTGTCAATAGGTTTTGTTAAGACTTGATTTCTGCAGGCTGAATCCTGCAATGCAAACAGGGCTTTATTGAACAGTTAATTCCTTAGTGTAGTTCTGCAGAGATTTGATGGACTGGAATCCAGGCTTCTGCTCATGACTGTAGAAGACTGAAATGGGAGGTGATCTTTTCATCCAAGGAAGAGTCTTGGGAACACCACCTGGCACTACATTTCTCTCTTTTTTTCAGGAGTTTATTTTCTTAATCTTTCTTGTCTCCTTACTCCTTAACAAGGGGGGTTTGATAATAGAGAGCTCTCTCTCAAACATATCTAATTATTACCATCCTTCTCTTGCTGCCTCTCTTTCTGGACTTGCACTCTGAAGTACCACATGCAAAACACCTCTATTGCCACTCTGGTAACATCCTGAATTCATAGTCTAGGCATGTTCTTGAAATAAATATGGTTTTCCTACTTAAAGTGGCCTTCCTGGAGGTCAGAACTGTTGAACAGACAACATTCCCACAGTGCTTCACGAAGTGTATGCCATGAATCATAGTCACCACATGCATACCTTACCCAATGCAGACGTGGTGCATTAGAAATGCAGATGACTGAGCACTTTCTCAAAACTGCCTTTCCTCTCTCGTTATCTTTTCAAGAATTGTTTCAGGGAGACCAAATCGGACACTGTGAGATTTAGGAATTTTTTTCACACAGAAAACATGAAATACTGTGGGGTTTGGTGAAATACCCATTCTTCTGCTTACATTGCTTTTTATATCTTTTGGAAGAATAGATTTTTTTCTACCACACATAAGGAATTTATACTGGTTATGTTTTCTTGTCAAAGCTGAGGTACTCTTCCCTCAAGAGGATTTCCTTTGAGTAATTGCCTAACTGGTGGCCACTGAGCTGTAATTAGTCCAGATGAAACCAATTGTCATCATTCCTTTCAGTGCAAACTGCACTCCAAACACTCCAAATAGCATTCCCATTAGTCATATCTCCAGCACAACCTGCACATTTTTCCTGCTGAAAAGAGATATTGATTTGACACCGTGCTGAGATGATATGATGTATAACTGATTGTACATTTCTGTATAGTATTAGATTAGACTAATGCATCCAGGTTTTCAATCCAATTACGCCTGCTCAGCTGATGGAGAGAGTTGTACCCTGTGCAATTGCCTTGGCAATTGCCAATATCACTTTATGATAATCTACTTAGAGTGAAAGAATTGTAGTGAAACAGGAATAGGCTGAGTTTCTCCCAGATCTTTTCTAATGTTGCTTGCATTTTCAAGGAACATTAGGCTGATCTCAGTTGGTAAATAAACATTTGAATCTTACTCATGAAAAAACACAGAAAAAAGTACTCAATATTTTCATGGTATTTGAAAGAGTGTATCACATTGGCAGTCTATCACTGTTCCATAAATGCACTCTGGTATGATTTGATCTTGGCAATTGATGATGATAAATACTTGAATTGTGCAGCTGGCCCTGGATCTGGACTCAAGATTTCCCCTAGTGTAAGATTAGCTAATATATCATTTTTTATTCCCTGAACAGTACCTGCTTGAGAAGGCATACAGTCACAGAGAGTCATCTTAAGTTTGGCAGGAAAACTAAGTGGTAAACATTTCATTAATATCCAGCTGGACAAAGAGAGGAACAAAATTAAAATGAGCAGGAGACAGAAAGTACAAATGGTCTTTGCTACACTTTTAAGAAGCAAGGAATTTCCAAAACACCACAGAATAATTTTTGTTGCTGTTCATTATCCATTACTTCTCATGGAAATCTAAGTCTTATCACTTTGCTTTCCTAGTTGTTGCAAAAGTACAACAGTATAAGCTGAAGCATGTCAGGGAAACAGGCTCACTTGAGAGTGTTTTGGGTCTGTGAATGATCAGGATATGAAAAGAATTCTCAGCTTCTGTGAAGCAATAGCCAAGAAACTAAACAGCATCAATACACAAACCAGAAAAAAACCCAAATATTTTTTTTTGTGGGAAACCGCGTTACAAAATCTGTGTGATACTGAATTGACTGTAAGATAGATGAGGTTAGTTTTGTCCTTGAGAAAATGGACAAAAGTAGCAAATTTTCAGGATGAAGATGGTGGTCAGGCAATAGCTCTGAAGGGGCTCACCAATGAAAGAGTTTGATTACTGAAAGTGGTGGATAATGCTCTTAAACCTGTCTCACACATCTGAAGATGTCAGACATGATACTAACTGACCAAAAAACAGTTTCAGGGAGAACCATGAAAGTCCAAATATGGAATCCTGATGCCTGTCCTTGGGCTCAGTAGCATGCTAATCTCACAAAGAACAGACACCTGGATAAGTATGATCAGTTAGGGAAGAGTTTTTCCACATATTTTTTTTAAGGCTATGCCTTACTTTGCTGGCTCAGTGGAGTTATTTGAAGAAGTCAGGAAGGAGTTGAATAGAGTGAACTGACTGGAGTGGTGTATCTGTCCTTCTAAAGCAACTTCAGTAGATTTCCTCGCATTTAATTTCCTGAGCATTTGTAATAAACATTAAAAAATAAGAGAAGCAGAATGAACAAATGTGATGGTGGGCAGAAACCAGAGGGATGTGTGCAGGAGCCTTTTCTGGTTACAATATTGATAAATGAACTGTCTGTGAAGAAGTGCACAACTTACAATAATGAGTGCCTGTGTAGATCACAGCAGTTGATAGCTTTCAGTGCAGATAAACATAAAGGGATGAGCCCTGAACAAAAGTACTTCTAATGTCACATCTTAAATGATGGGCTCTGAGCCCAGCACTAATATTCAGAAGTGAGATTGTTCCATGAATACATCAGTGTATCGGTCAGTAGCAGTCAGGGATAAATAGAAGTTAAAATTGCAGACATTAGTAAGAAAAATAGAGAGTGCAATAGGCAGTGTTACTGTAACACTTTATGGATGCATGGCTTGACTACAATTTGAAAAATATGCAGTTTACATCTGCCTCTGCCAGAAAATTTATATTAGAATTAGAAAAGGTGCCAAAAAAAGCTTGAAGGATAATCTGAAATGGAAAACACCTTCTATAAAAGAAGCAATTGAGCAGGTTACGACTTCTGAGTTGGGGGAAATTATCCAGAAAAATTATAATTGGTATGACGATGGTAATTAGAAAGCAACTGTGAGCAGTGTTGTCTACCACAAGAAGTGCATATCTCAAATGGAGATGGTGGGAGCCGGATTCATAACCAACAACAAAAAAAATGGTTCATTGTGCATCATGTACCTGACAAGCTGAAATATTGCCAAGGATGCCATAGAATTATGGAACATTTATATGAGCTCCTTTTGTTCAGCAAGTACTTGGTAACGTGATCTTGGGTTAGGACAATCATACGAATCCGTATGTCCAGACCTACTTTTTGGTGATTACAGATTTGGTGCATTGATTAGGACCTGGAAAAAGGAAACACAAAGCCATAGCAAAATGACTACTGAGGGAGAAATAATGCTGTGGGTAAATCATACATAGCACATTATTTTTCTTTTTCTTTAATGCCATGAGTGTTTCCTGAAGAGGCAGGAATCCTGCTGTCACACCTGTAACTAAGACCATAAGCAACAGAGGTTATGTATCAGGGCAGGAACCTGCAAGCTGGAAGCCAGTGAATCACTGATGTTGTGTTCCAGGTGGTTTTACGTGGTAGAATAAGAAGTTCAGGGCCCTGGAGAGTTGGTACAACCAATTGCCTGCTGTGCACTGTAAATCAGGGAAAGCAGCTTGCAATTAACAAGGAGTGTTGAGGTCTTGTCAATATACTCCATTTTACTGATTATCAGAAAGGTCCAAAACCTCTGGGTCAAATTGCTAGTGAATGTAAATTTCAGTCAATTTAAATTAGAGTTTTAAAGTTTCAGAATCAGTTAAAAAAATAAATGCTATGAAAAGGGGAAAAGCAATCATAAAACCTGGTCAAGAGGAACACCTCCCCTTCTACCTCTCCTGACTACCATGTATGACAGCTCCAGCTTCACAGAAGAAAAACCCCTTTCAGTGAAAGAGTCATTGGCTACATAGTAAACTGCTCTGTCTTGCAGACTCATTATTTTTAAGCCCCACCAAAAAAGTAAAGCATTAATAGTTTGCCTTTACGTCATCACATCCAATAACTAGATCCTCATCTAAAACTCCTTGAAGTCAGGGAAGGCTGTCATTGACTTCAGCTGGCATTGGAATAGACTCTGAGAATGTAAATTGCCTGCTAGCAAGCTAAATAAAGATCTGGGTTCAATTCAAGTTGAACATAGATAAATTAAATGGAGAAGCTATACAGGTCTGCAAGCACACCAGCCTTCATTCTGTTTGTTGCTGCTCAGTTGACTTCAGTAATTCATTCCATGAGGTAACACATCAAAATGGCATTTGATAATGATTTTCACTATCAGTGAAGGCATGAAGCAGAAGATTAAGTAGAAATCAAAAATCCAAGGGTTAATAATAATATCTTACAAATGGGAAAGGATACTTTGCACTGTTTATGCCATGCACAGCATTTCAAAAAATCGAAGCCAATCCCTTTTTCAAGACAGCATGAAGTCAAGCCCTATCTAGAAAATGGCACATTTATTAGGATTTCAAGAAAAAGTGTTCTTGCTATTATCTCTGGGATGAGATAGACTTTGCAGGAATGACATAAATATTCTTGCCTCCAGTGTTTGATTGGCATAATCTGTCCACAACACCTACAGAATATGATACTATATTGCAGGAATGTGGCATTAGTCTTTTTTTAGGAGCAAATATTTAGAACATCTTGAAATATTTCATTGTCATACATGTGTCTATGTGTATGACAGAAATAAATTTTGCTGCTTGGTGTCTTGGGATGTATCTTCTTGCACACAGAAATACTGAGGGCAGCCTTCATCATAGCACAGAGACATACCTTATTGTGGTATTTGGGTTGGAGAAGACAAGAAGAAACAAAACAGAAAGGGAAAAAAATTCTTTCAGGTATTTTTGTCATCTGAACAATTGCTTTGAAGGGAAGAAAACATGACCTGCTATGCTACACAAGTTTATATTCAAATTTTTTCTGTTGCTATACAACAAGTGTTACAAATTCACAAAATTTACCACTGAGTTTTGGTTGGGGTTTTTGTTGTGGTTTTTTGACTGACAACATTTTTTTCCCCAGTACCTCAAAGAAAATGCACCAGTGTTGTTCTTTGCAAAGATTACATTAAACATTATTGGCGGGAAAGAAGATAACCCTCAAGAAAATCACTTGGAACTGACCAGTTCTTGCCCAACTCTTTCATTCCTAATCACACAATGAGAACCTTGAATGGGTTCTGAGAAGCACTCAGAACCCACAACATCCCACCTACTCACTGAGATATTTTGCATAAACATTTTAGGTCATGTGGGCAATGAAGTCTCTCAAACAGCATGGTCAGTTGCTGTCTGGATGGGAGTCTCCATTGCAAGTATTCTTGCAAGAGCAGCTTCTACAGGATCAGGGTGGGATACCACAATTTGCTCTGATTATTTCTTACAGTCCAGCTGGTCTGTGGTCCTACATGATGACTACTGTACATCAATGATCCATTTCTATTTATTATCTTAAAACTATACACAGAACTACTTCTAGCTTTCCTAATATGTACAGTGTCCTACCTATAACCAAAGAACTAGAGAATTCTTTAGATTGGAAGAGGCCTATGAAAGTCATCTAATCCAACCTCCTGCTGCCCCCGATCCTGCCCTTAATTAAGATAGTTAAATCTTGCTAGTTACGTCTAGAACATTTTCAAAGACATTTCTGCGCCTGTATTTTGCAGACTATTTAAATTTATCCATGTGGCATTTGGCCAGTTGCCTCACCTGTCTCTGGAACTGACAGTATCATTGGGACTGCTCAAGATTCCTCCACCCAGGAGGAACATCACCAACACACTGAAGCACAAAAGTAGTGCCTAACTGATCTAGGCACAACAGGCAATTGTCTGAAATTTTCACCTTGACTGTTTCTAGTCCATTGCTTTGCCATGAAACAGCACAGAGATCAATCTACTGCCTATTTGTCTCAATTTACATCTACTCAGAGATCACCAGGAGACTTCATGGATCAGCCATGGAGCTGAAGACAAAATGCATTGCCTTTGTGCACAGATAGAGTGCTGGTACCCATCTACATCAAACCTGAATTTAATCCTTTTACCACAGCTATAGTTGAAACCCAAGCTTGTCAAAAATGTTCATTCTTGGGTCTAATCAGGCCTACCACTTCACTAAATGTAACATTAACACACACATAATTACGGGGTAAGAGAAATTTTTCCCACTTCAGCACTTCCATGCATCCAGCCATGTGATACTGTCACATTTGTGAAGCATGATTCTATTTATATGTTCAAGTAGCTGTCATAGCAGCCTCAGCATCAAATAGCTGCTCTGCTGGAGTGAGCAGACAGTTGCTAATGGGAAATGTTACAGAACTCCTGTGGACAAACCTCATGCTAAGCAGTATTTTGCTGCTTACTGTAGGAGTGAAATTAGAACAATTTTGCATCTCTAAAAAAAATTGCTGCTACATAAATGGGTGCTTTTAGCAGAGGGTGGTGCCACCAGGGAATTATCTGGATACATATACTTCAGCAATTCATTTTAGAGAAATCATTAGGAATGGATGCCCATCTCAGACATACAGCTACCTCACAGCTTTCATCCTGGGTTAAACTAACTAACTTTCAAAAACCCAGTCAGGATAGAGCACCAGCATCATCTTTTGATTTTCCCTGAGACATACTGGTGATGACTTCATCAACAAAGGAAATTGAGACTGAAATGGTAAACAAAACCACACAAACTAATCTAGAATGGATGTGTGTCTCATATTTCCATTTGCATGCAATGCTAATATACTAACACAGTACTTGCTGGTACTCAAAAATTCCATAATACTCCAAAACCTACCAGCTTTCTGAGCAGAACACAGGGATATGTACTGTGCTTGGGCATTCCTCTAACACACTTCAGAGGAGAGGCCATTTTTTTCAATTTCATGGGGTTTTTTTTCCTTTGCTTTCTGTAACTTGAAGACTTAAGAAAAAAAATATAGCTTCATTCTAACCATGGATATTTTACTGAAAAAAACTGCCTTCTGTAATCTTGTAATTATAAGACCTTCTGATCTTATAATTGACCATGATTTGGAACAGAACAGTGTTTACAATGCTTATTGTTTTGAATGGGAAAATTTATCATCTTAAGGCAAGAGATGCTATCAGGCATGCCTTTGGCATACAGGGCCAGATCTCCAGTACCTCATGCATAATCCAGAATTAAATTAGCTAAAAAATTTATTGCATTTTATTCTTTTTTTTTCATATAAGGATATAATTTTTTTTATATTTAGACATACTACATATAGAAACATAGATTATTAATTATATTAATTTATCTTAAATTAATTAGAACTAAAAATACATCATTTTATTATGTATTAAATTAAAATATATTTATTTCATTATTTTATTTATTATTGATATTTTACAGCCAAAAACTTTAAAAACTTTTGTACCAAATCTGTGAACTCACAGGTTCATTTGCAATAGAATTTCCATAATTCCCTTGATGCTTCCCTTGAGGAAGGGTTTCTGCAGCTGCCCAGGCAAGATGGCTCAGTGAGATGAGGGCTGAACACGTCAGCAATTCCAGTGGAAAAGCATTACTGATATCTTAGCTCTATATGTCATTTTTTTAGTGTATTGGGGTACACAGGCATGTACACACATACCTGTCTCAGAGCTGCTCTCTCCTCCTTACAGGTCTTGTCATCCACTCTCCTTCTCTGTGAACACAGACTCTCCAGCAGGGACCATGTTATTTGTAGCACTGCCAAGTTTAATCCACCTGCAGAGGCACCTGGGAAAACAATTTATGTACACACAAAAGTACCTGTGGAGTTTGAACACACTACATGTCTTAGCACTTCTACTTCAGTTGAGAGAAGTGACAAATATAGGTCAAGAAGAGGAAACTTATTCAGGTAGTCAAAGTTATCAGAAGACCATAGTCAAGCAGATTTGAGTCTTCAGGTAGCCATGAAGCCATGTCCTGACTTTATCTGGAGCTCCTTGCTGAGAGTGAAGCACTAGCTGGATGTACTTCATGGGAGCCTTGGCACCAAGGATGTGCCAATCAGTAATCCACACTACTAGGATTTATTTGCCAAAGGGTCAGTGTTCCAGGATGTCAAATTGTCGTTTGAGAAGTGATAAACTACAGAGAGATCACCATTCACCAAGAAGGAGTGGAGACTTTGGGACAAATTGAGTTGTTATAAAACATTGTTCGTTAATTATGCCCCATGAGAGTCTACCTCCAACAAGGGACTGCCATGCTGGCCAGCTTAGTGTGGATGATATCAGATTTTCCCTGTCTATTTCAGGATCCATTTGCCTCCTTGGTCCTTCTGCACAGATTGACTTTTTGCAAGCCTTGGAACAACATCCTGGCCCTGTACCTGCATATCACTGGCTCATGGTCTGTACTGGCTCACCAATTCAAAGTGTGGCCCATTGCTACCTTTCAAGGAAAACAAAAAAATGGTTCTAAAAGAAGTCTAAGGATGGAGAGATAATTTCCTGTTGCAACTCATTGGGCAGCTCCCACCCATAACAAGCTGTTATTACAAAAGCACATTTTAGCACCCCTGAAGGAGAGAGCAGCATCTCATGGTGACACAGATAAGGTATCAACAGGGGCTCTAAGAAAATAGATCAGTCTGTACCCATTAATGCTGGGAGATCATCTACTCATGTTGCAACATGACTTTATATCCTGGCTGGAGTCCAGGCTTTGTTACAATTAGCATATTAGCTTCAATTATGTAAGCCAGCAACTAGCTTTTAGCTAGTATCTGTAATTTACCTTGGGAAGAAGTTTGATTTTGTCTGTCTTTTTCCCAGTGTAGCTTGATTGAGAGTGAATTTTCTGCAGAATATTTCTTCTCTGGCTAAAATGCTGTCTATTTCTAGAAGCTCTGGCGTCAAGGTCCTATTTCACATTTTAGGAAATCTGGAATGGGTTTCACTGTGTGCCCAGCTTGGGTGCTGGTTGTTTGAAGCTGCTCAAAACATCCAGAAAAAGCCTTAAGTTTATATCTCACTCCAAGATAAGTTTCAGAAGGGACTCAGCATAGAAGGGTGATGCCAAACCTTGCAGTGTGCATACCCCATTTGGCAAAAAAGCAGAGCCCCACCAGACAAACCGCTGGGAGAACTGGGAGAAAGGTGTCAAATTAAAGTATTAGCTGAGAACTCAGACTTGAGACAATTTTTCTGTTTGATTGTAAACTTAAGGGACATGATCTGGGAAAATTTAATATTTTTGCTTGTTTTTACGGGATTGGGGGCAGAGTTTAGCAACAATGACTTATGCTGCTGACTGTAGCACAGAAAGAATAAGTTCACAGGTAGTTGTGAGGCATTTAAATGCTGCAGTGGAAAAAGGCCATGGATATGCCTGGCCAAAACTGTCAGGTCTTTATGTTAATATATTAACCTTCCCTCAGTAGAATAGAGGCCTAAAGATAAATTCATTCTCTCTCCTTAAAATAGCCTAGACATAGCTAAAGCAACTGAGGAACAAAGGACTAAAAAACTGTTGGAAATCTGGGAGCTGTTTAAGCTGAAAAGGAAATGGTTATGAAGGATTAGAAGGAGATGTAGTAGCTCCCGTGGGCCTTCAGCTTAGCAGAGCATAACCATGACCGGCTCTTGTGGTGACCCTGAGAGATTAGGAGAAGAGCAGCAGGTCTAGGATTTGTGTTCTTACATCAGGTAAGACAAAGAACATGCCATTAACTCATGGCAATGTGGGAAAATGGAAGAGCAAATGTCGATTGACTGCTTTTTTAGAGTGAGATATGAAATGAAACGCTTATTGCCAGAACAACCTCTGATAGATGAGATCAGAGAAGAGAAGAGGTGCCCCAGCTAAACAGTATTCCTAGGAGTTTATCTGTGGATAATCCACATTACTCTTTTCACAGAGCTATGATCTGATATTTAATTTTTCCACCACATTGTGTTTTTGGCAGGATGTTTTTACTATCTCACATAAGAACCAAATTGTTTTGCAGCTATAGGATGACAAACTCAAACTCTTCTTCAGGGTAACACTAAAAAATGGAGAGATAGAAAAAGACTTCAGCGATGCACAGCCCTTATGTGTTGTTTTGTTACAAGACATGTATCATCAACTTCCCACACATTTTTTATGCAGGAGATCTACGGGATGCTCAGCTTGGTGCTCCACAGATGCCACCACCATCAAACAAATGACAGGAAATTGGCAGCATGCTGTGGATTTACTTTCTTCAACTGAATGGAAAACACTGTTCAGTATGGATCTAATACCCTTCCCTCTTCACCCACTCCTGCCATGCCTCCAGGTTTCCAATGCAGGTCTCAGGTTGAAGAAAAACTCAGTCCTTCATAGGCTGAGGGTAAGGTCTTGCCAATGTACAGCAAAAACCTAGCCACTCCTCAGGTGCCACTTGGAAGACATCCAGCCCCTCCCTCCCTCTCTGCCTCCCCTCCCCAACAACACTCCAGAGAACAATTTTTTTTTCATAAAGGGGAAAGCTGGAAGAGAAAATACTTAATTAGAAATTTCAAGAAGAATTAGAGTGGGTGGGACATTATCATTCCATCTGTGTTTGTGTTACAATTTCATCTGGAAACTAAGCAGCCCATTGCACATGCCGCTATAAATGACAGCCCGTGCCCCAGGCTGCTCACCCCACAGACAGTCAGCAATTATAGCAGTGCTCTCCAGTGGCCAGCTCTGAGTCACACCCAGTACTTTTCGTGTGTGCGTGCACCTTAAACATTCCACAAGCTGCTAACACGAGGCGTTTGCCAACGCGGCTCCGAAAGGCTTTGAATTGTGTATCTTTCCTGCTTTAGATGGAGATTGATACAAGTTGAGAAGTGAGTTGATGTATTCTCCTAGCCCTTAGCCTCCAGGGTTGGCCCTGCCTGCACACAAGCTGAGGGCAGCTGGCTGCCAAACTGGCCCAGCAGTCTCCTGCCTCCCCTTCAGGTCAAAGGCATTGGCACAAAGGCTCAGTGCACCTAAGGAGCTGCAAGGAGCTCCAAAGACAAAAGTCTGTCATACTGTTTCTAACAGCCCTAGACTGAACTGGTTTCCTTGCAGATCAACCTTACAAACACACAGCATGACTAGAGAGGACAGCAAAGGTACAGAATCAGTGCTTACTTGTATTATTTGCTGGTTGATACCTATCCAGCCACAGAGAATGGCCCTTGGTACACTCCAAGCTGAACAAGCATCATCTAAACCATAGGATTTACCTGGTGAAGCAAGCTATCCTCAAGAATGGCACAAATATTTCTTTCAGGCCTTTCAAGATGATTCTGCCTGCTCTTGAGCTGGGCCTTGCACTGGGCTCTGGGGTAGTGTGGATGCCCATCTCCATGTCTGTGGTTTCAAGGCAGAGTTGATAAGGCAATTTCCTTCCCCACAGAACTTTTTTCTCTTCCAAAGCCAGGTGTGAGTATTGGGTTACCAACCAGGATGAATTTCAGCTGCCTAAAAGAAATCACAGAATTGTTAGGGCTGGAGGGCTGTTTCACCTAGGGAAGAGAAGGCTCAGGAGGGGACCTAAGAGCATCTCATTAATTTACCTGAAGGGAGAGTGGAGAAAAAGAGGGAGACACGCTTTTTTCAGTGGTGCCCAGTGACAGGACAAGAGGTGACAGGCACAGACAAAAGCACAGGAGGTTTTATCAAAACATAAGGAATCACTTTTTTTCTGTTTTTACATCACTGAGAGTGATGAAGCAACATGTTGTCCAGGGAGGTTATGAATTCTCCATCCTTGGAACTCCTCAGGAGCTGTCTGGACATGGTCCTGGTCAAACAGCTATAGGTACCCCTGCCTGAGGTCCCTGTATAAAACTCATATGTGCATTGCTTTCCCTCACAACAGATTATTGGCAAAAAGACATGTAAGTTCTGTCAGAGCTAAGTGGAAAAGGAAGCACAATTAAGACTGCAAAAGACAGGCAAAATCTAACCCTTATAGCAAAGAGCTGCTCAAAACAATCCTGGTTGTTACAGTGGATAAAACACATGAAAGGAGAAACTTGAGGAAGGACAGATGTGATGTCTGGATCTTAAGGCAAATGCAGGGTGGCAAATCTTATCCCTACCAGATGGCCCTATGATTACACAACCTTTCAGCGCACTGATGGAGTTTGAGATTTTCTGTCTTGCAAGAAGCAGCTTCAGATGAGTTTCAGCAGAGTAAATATCCACCATTGACTTTTATTCAGTTTTAATAGACTTTGGCAATTCACTTTTTAAAACATACTTCTGCTTTATGACTGCTACTTTCTAATACTCTCCTCCTTAATCTCTTTTCTCATAGATGTTTAATTGTGTAGAAGAATCACTGTGATGTATTTAACTTTCATATGATTTCCCTGTTTGGTAATAATACCCCCAATTAACTACTGTTTTCATTAACCAATTTACTCATTTATAATCAAGGGCAATGGCTTTAACAGTTTTAATAATATGCCTTGTTAATAATGTCTTAATGAGGATTAGCCTTATACTGCTCTCAGAAGGTTCCCTTTCTCCCTAAAATGAGAAAAAGCATATTAATGAAAAATAACCTTCTATCTCCTGGCTAAGTGTTTTGTTGGAATAAAAAGAAAATGTGGAAAAGTACTGTTGATTTTTTACCTCCATATTCTGCCATTTACAAAACTAGTGAATTAGAGTAGGTGTAGTACATGATGCACTAGCCCATAAATCAGTTCTGCCTCTTTCTTACTTGCTATAATTAGACACCAAAAGGCTCCTTTTATATCCTCAGTTGAATCAGGATGCAGGCATTCTTATCAGCTTCACTGGACAGAGCAAAGAGAATACTGTTAATTAACTCAGGGCAAGAAGTGAAATCAAAAAGAAATATCGAGTCAACGTTTTATTGAATTAAACTAAAAGATCAAATCTAAGAGAATCTTCTCCCATAGAACTAAGGAAACACAATAAAACTGCAAAGACTGACTATAGGTTCTGCTAGCAGTAGCATCAAAAATTTAGTGTCTGGAATTGACAAATAAGGAGACAGGATTACCAATGATTAGCAAAAAGAATCTGGAATAGCCAGGTTAAAAATAGCAGCTCACACATTTACAGGTAGAATAGAGAAACTGCATAAGAAACCTTGCATTTAAATAAAGGGGAACAGAAGCATAAGTCAATGCATGATCAGGCAACTCTGGAAGTTTAAGTGTTGGAGGAAGAAGCACTTGGTAAAAGGCAGTTCTCTAATGCATATGAACTGATGGAGAACTGAATGCATCTTTCACAGTTTTGCCAAAACAGAGCATCCACAGGCTGGTCTAGCAGTCTCTGAGGAGCAGAAACCTGTTCACACTCACCTGTGCAATGCACTTTTGCTATGCTGCATTCTATACACATAAAGGCCAACCGACCTCTGATGATCGGGATATTTTTAGACAAAAATTACAAACCCCTTTAGCCCTCCATCTTCCAGCATGGTATTTAGATGTCTCTGTATTCCCCATTCCAGCACTGTTAGGATTTGAATCCTGCCTCCAGTGATATATTAGGATTTTAAGGCACACTTATGTGAGGAAAATAATTTAATCTCATTAGCTCTAAATACTGATGGCAATTGATATAGTAAACATCTATGCTGAGATGGGGAGAAATTGATCTTCAGAAGTCAGTATTTGCCAGCATCTGGAAATGCTGGTTTGCCATAATTAGGTCTTTTCTTGCCTATATTTTGGTTTTAATGAGTGGAAACTAGAAAGATAAAAAGAGTAATGTCCAAACAATTCTGTTCCAGAAAAGCCATTGCAGCTAGAGCTATAAAGTGTCCAAATATATTCATTCAGTTTGGGATTTAGAACACAGTAAAAATGCAAATATCACACTGGTTTTCAACCTTTTGCAGAGATGTCAGATCAAGGCCTATTCACACCACACACTTGACTATACCTTTAATTTATATTTTTGATCAAGCACAAAAGTTGGAAGTAGCCTCAGTATTAATTTTTAAGAAGAAAATTTTTAAGAAGAGAATTCTGTCACTCCAAACTCTCATTAGTTTCCATTATTTCTTGGAAGGTTCCTATAACAACAAATACACATGGATGAAATCTTGTTTGCACTAAACTCATCAGGCATTTTCCTACAGACTTTATTGGAGGCAATATTTTATCTAGTATCTTAGGAAAAGTAGATTTTACTTTTCCTTGAAGAGTCACAATTTTTACTGGTAAGCAGGCAGTATCCTTTATACAGCAATTCTGAGGCAGCTCATGCAAGTGATAAGAACTCACTGAACAAATTTTGATGCATTCTGAGACCATATGAGAAGGTAATTAGATAAATTCATGGAAGAGAGTTTTCAGAAAAACAGGGATGATTTTGTTCTTTTCCTTAGGCTTCAGAACAATGTAAGCCCTCTGATTTGGTACTGAATTAAACAATGAGCTCCTTGCCCTTGACTGCGTACAAGCTACTTTTAAATCACTGGCATGCCAGTTCAATTCCATCACTTATTTATTTTTTTAGGCTGGAATAATTTAAAGCCAAACTTAATTAAGCTTCTGACATTGTGAGATAGCATAGAGAAAACTGTTTAAAATACGGGCCTTGTGTGACTTGGGTCTTGATATTACTCCCATTTTGATTTCCTACATTATCACTGTTTAAAAGCATGTTTTAAAGCTGTAGGGTTTTTTTTCTATGGCTGGTGTTTGTCATCTTTTGCACAGATCTATGACTTCCTTTGCACATAAAGACATACATGTTCCTATGGAATATTTTATATCACTTGGCTGGCTCTTGATTACATCTTGTTTCTCCCCAGATGAAAATACCTGGGGTGCAAAGACAGATGACTTCACTTTTCTGTTTATTGTGAAAATCAAGCTGAAGCTAGAGGGGAAGAACTGGGGATGGAGCCAATCAGCACTTGGTCTGAAATATTTTATGACTTACCTGACTGTTAATGAACAATGATATTTTCCTTCCTATATTTGCTGGACTGGCTTGACTACAACATAAACAGAGGTGAGAGAGGCCACAGAAAAAGGCTGAAAAAAGCCTGGCCAAAGGAAGGGAATAAAAAAAAATACACACAAAACATGACAGAGTCATAAACCAAGACATCAGACAAGTAGAAACCAGGACCTCCTTGGTCCAAACTGTTCTTATAAACTGTTACACAGCTTTAGGTAATGAGCAGATTTGGCTAGCTCTGGAAAGTGGAACAATTTTTCATATCTTCTAGCTAAAATCTTGGTCTTATTAGGCTTCAGTACTTTACGAGTCACTAGGATTTCAGTGCTAATGAACTGCATTCCAACTTCACTTCTGTGAAAGCCTATGGTTCAGACAAAATGACTCGTTGATATATAGGGGTGGCTGTTCATTCACTTAGAGTGAGAAAAGGCATACGAATGCAAAAGAGCCTTCTACTTCTACCTCCTGTCTAAGTGTTTTGTTGGAATGGAAAAAAATCTACTTAGATTTGCCATTTGATTATGCCCTGCATTTTAAATCACACTGAAGTAATGTGATAGACTGAACTTTGTTTACATAAACTGGTTGAGCCTTGTGATAAATTTCTCCCCGATAACCCAGGACTGATGCCTTAAAGAGCCATCAGTTTTCCAGCCAGATAAGGGAAAAGGCAGGTAAGCAGCAGATCCTTTGGAGGTGGTGTAATGCTTTTTTTATCATCATGATTTCCTCCCTCCCAGAAAGGCACAGCTGCATCTGACAGTGTAAAACTCCCCACCATGGGAGGTATTGAGTGTTCACATGGAAGCCAGAAGGTTTTTTCCCTCCTGGTAAGGCACAAATGGCACAAGGAAAAGCATGGCCAAGCAGCAGTTGGGTCATTAAGAGGGGTTAGAAAGCATCAAAATCCCCCAAAGTGCCCCCCAACTCATTTCCACAGTGTTGCTTCAGACAGTGTAAAATCCCTCTGCAGGGGAGGTGTCAGGTTCCTGCTGCAACCTAATTATTTCAAAATAAACCTGGCTCATATGTACACAGGTCATTCACTGTCTTTTCATTCTAATCCACCACAAGGGATCTATTAACCAGAACCTCAGCTACCCTGCCTCAGAGGCAGGTTGTAGCAACTAATAAATAAAAATCTATAGAACTGGCAGGAGAGGCCAGAAGTTTCAAAAGTGGTCATATTACCATTTAAAATCCTTAGCTGAAAAATTAAGAAATAGCCATGTTCTGTTCAAAGCATATGAACAGCATATAAATGAGGAAGATATCTGTTTACGCAATCCAGTCTGCTTTGATTCAAGAATCAGTCAAGCAGCTGCCCAACTTGAAAGATGGATTACACATTCACATACCACAGTCAAGGTCAAGACACCTCTCCAACATTTCCTAGTACATAATATTTCAGACTTGAGTTTTTAATCATTGGCTTCTTAGACACAGTTACTTTAACCCATTTAGCATCTGCTTGGATGTGCTGCCTGAATACTTCCACTCACTTGTTCTGAAGGGCTGTGGCAGAGACAGGAACTTATTCCACCCCTCCTCATTGCTATAGAAAATCCAGGTCTGTGTGAAACATTTATACTCAGCCTCAAGATCCAGCCTCATCTGCTGAGGTATTGTCTCTCTTCTGGCCTCCTGGGCCAGGTATTGCTCCTTGCAGCTTGTGATGGAAAACTGGTAAACCATAACAAAAGCTAAAAAGCCGCTCTTCAGAGTTCTCTGGGAAAAAAAAAAAAAAGGCAAAAGCTTGAGGAAGAGACCTAGCAAATACTACACAAATTAAAGATTAAAAGAGAGGGCTGTTCTGATGACATATCTGCTGGGATCTGTCTCTGTGCTTTTACTTCTGAAAGATAAGCCCAGGACCTCCCTTCATGAGTCAGCAGTAACATAAAAGTAATTGAACACCCTGCAAGGAGAGGCCTGTCGTGTTCCTGTATTTCACTGCTTCAATAACCTGATGTTATTAAAATTTCTTGCAATCTTCTTGCTATTAGGCAGTCCTTATTTGATCAAATGATTATGAAAGATGGAGGGGGCTGTTAGCTTATAGAGTTTCCTTCTGATACAGAATTACATGGTAGGCTGATTCAACCTGAGTGTGAAAGCAAAAATAAGAATTTCTTTGCCTCCTTGCTCATTTTTCTATTTTAATTTCCTTATATTTTTTATCCAAGAATGTCATAGACTAGTAATATCCCATGACTCCATTTCACACTTACTTAGCAATGGTATTTATGACTTACCTCTGGTAGCAATCTCCTTATGTGAAGGTATGCAATACATGTTGGGATGTGGCAAAACATCCTTTTCCTCTTTTTAGATTATATCCTTACACTCTTTTATCTAACTGTATTACCAGTTTTTTCTACTACTTTTCAGTAGCTTTTTCCTCCTTCACTTCTATAGGAGACAAATATCAAGATGAATGTCTGCTTTTACAATGCATTCCTTGGAGGAGGAGAGCACGGTAATTTGCTTTGACATGCTCATGCTTTTAATTGTCTGGAGTATTCTCAAGACACATCAGTGTATTATCTTTCCTAATTTCCTTTTAATCCTCTACACAAGTCTCTAAAGAGCTGGTGTTGAGTCTCTCCCTGATATCCCTGGATGTAAGGATGTTCAATGCATATTCCCTAGCAGAAACAAAGTCATGCCCAGGCTCAGCCCCAGAATGTATCATTTTTAGACCAATACATGGATACATTGGAATGCTAGGAATCTCATGTCTGTTTATAATTATGGTTGTAATGTTTCCCCCAGATAATAACATTGAAATGGTCTGGGCACTACAAGAAGAAAAAGAAAGCCCACCATTCTGTTAGAATCTAATTTTACTTCACACCAGACATTTCCATTACCTTCTTTGCTATACCACAAACACAAGACTTTGTGTTTCTTCCTGTTCTCCACAAAATCCTGCGAGAACGCAGAGAATGGTCTCAGTGAACAAGCTTCTGTAGCAAAGAATAGCCGACCCATTGGTGGGAAAAAGAGGCTTCAGGAGGCATAACTAGGTGACAGAGAGGACAGGCCTTATTGCTCTTCCCTCTTCTCAGCTTTCTTAAGTGGAGTTTGTTGTTTTCCCCTGTCTTTGGCCTGATGATGCAGAATTCACTTACTATGGCAAACAAATTCTGTTAACAACCAGAATGAAGCAATAAATTTAGAAACTTACTTACCAGAAAGTTTTCCCCCCTTCATATTAACAAAAAAAAAAAAAAAAAAAAAAAAAAAAAAACCCCCAAAAAAACCNAACAACAAAAAAACCCCCAAAAAAACCCCAAAAAACAGCTGTTGCCATAAATCTTTTGCTGGCAGATGCTACTCCTGTGATGATATCCATCAACCATATCAGCCCCATTCTTTCCTTGCTGGACTTGGTACTTCAGCAGCCTCTCCATCACATCCATGAATAATCTCTCTTCTGAATGGCCATGCCAGAGCTTGGACACACTAGCTGGATCCTGAGCCTGCTGCTGGCTCTGGGAAGTCCTTCCTGGTGCTTGTTCAGTTCTTCATGCTCTATTTCACACATTTGGAGGGAAGCATTCATTTTACCTAAAGCAACTGTGGCTGCCTGAAAATCAGGTTTAGACTAAACGAATTCACTATATTGATTCTGTAGGCCATGGAGAGAAATAAGAATCTACTAAACACTGATGCTACCCACCCATCTCAGGATGGAAGGACCACTTTCCTCACAGGCTTCAGTAGAACAGAGAAATGTCATCAACTGACTGGGCACAATCTTGAAATACTGATTCAGGCTGTGATAAACAATATTTTACCACTAAATTTATGGCTTTACAGTTTTCTAAGAAGCAAACAAGCATTAGGAATACCATATGTGTGCAACAGTGACATCCCATGTATTACAGAATAGTGACATTTGTATCATTATGGGACACTGTGATGGAGTGCAACAGCTAAAGTACTGAAAGCTGATATATATGGCTGAGGTACCACAAATATAGATCCATGTCAATCTGCATGGCATGGTCATGGCTGATTTTGGGAATGTTATGATCCCTTTGACTATATATTGACAATCCTGCCAGCTTTTGTGGGGTGTTTCCTTCTTCTTTCCCATACACAGCTGCTTAAACTGTGACTAGAAAACTGTCACAGACCCCCCATACCAGGGAATCAACTGAAATTATGAGACTAGAAACGGCATTTTCCTGTTCTTTATACTCTTACACTAATTCATAATTTTTCCAGTTCTCTTCTTCTGCACTGCTTTTCTGAGTTCTTTTTCCCTGCCTTCCCCCTATTCCCTTTAGACTATCTATCCATTTAAAATTCTAACAACACATTTCTCATGCTTTTGATGACAGCTCATAATTGCTGACAAGAAATAGAAGTAAACCATGAGAAAATGTGTATGCATTAAATTGTCATAATGTCATAGACACTCCTGAGATCAGTAATGAGGAGGTTGGGCTTTAGTTAAGACAGCTAGACAGCAAATATATACCAGTAAGAAATGGCAGAATATAAAATTGAATAAAATGGTTGTAGAAAGATAAATTATTATAGTAAGGAAAGCTATGTGAGAATCAGACAGAAAAAAACCAGTTCCCTTTACGTAGCATAGAAAACATGGGACAACTGGCAATGAATGACATTTGTGGCACCTAACTGGTGCCACTCCTTGTCATTCTGCAGAAGAGGGGGTGACTCCCCAAAGATCTGCTGCCTTCCTTGCTGTAATCACTGGACACAGCACATGGTGGGCTGCTGCTGTGAGCACAACCACAAAACTCTTCCAGAAACTGGGCTCCTGGGACCATGGGTCATGCAAACATGTAAACTTGTTGGTTCACCAAAGACAATTTATATTTTGCACTTCTGCTTCTCAGCCCATGCTATTTAACTTAGGCAACAGACTAAACATTTCTGAGGCCTCTCCTTACCAAGACAACAAAAAGGTGACAAATTCTGCTGATGATCCTGAAGAGTCCAGCAAGAAGGGATTTTATGAAGGAGGCAGTTGGAAGCTGGAATAAACATAGTTTGTTTATTTCTGGAGCAGTGTCTACAGCTCCTGCCTCCCTTGCAACCTTCTAGGAGTGTTCACTTTTAGACAGAAACATCATGAAATCAGCACTGTAATCCAGCTCATTGCTGGGTTTATGGGTGGAATTGCAGTCCATCTCTGCTATAAAATGTGGCTTTAAGAAGGCCAGCTTTGGTAAGGACTTGGCAGTCAGTTTATTAAGACAATACCTTTCTGTATCTGCTGCTTTTAGACAAAATAAGGTAAAAGTTGAAGCAGTGAAGTTGAGAAAAATTCGCCTCTTTACATTTTTATGAGAAAAAAAATGCACTAACACTAGATTTAAATTTAAGCCATGGTAATCAAACCCAAAAAAGTCCCAGTGTGCAATGCTGAATATCCAGTACTTACCCCAGATCATCTGCTGTTGAAAACCTGATCATGTCTCCTGAGGTTTCCACAAGTGGTTCCAGTAATTGGGGTTGCAGTTGGCCAGCTGCCGTTGAAGTCAGGCTCCCCCAATTAGGAGACCTGCCCGTGCTCCCCAGGGAATTACCTCATCAGGACATCCCTATGTATTTCTGCAGACCCCTCAGACTTTCTGCTTTCAAGGTTACCCAGAAAATGTGCTTCTCAGAAACACAAAGGGATTCCTGCAGCAACACAGATATTAGTTGGAATGTATTAACTTGGATTAAGATAAACTGGGGATGGCGGAAGGGGGTAGGCAAGGGGGAATGACAAGGAACTGATAATCTACTTGTGATCTATTCTACAAATGTCAAAGAGGGTGAGATTTTAGGTGGGTTTGTGGTAGAGATTTTTGTTTTTATTCATTTCTAAGCATGGATGAGCATTCTAAGGGAGAGAGGTGAATGGCTCAGGTGTGTTTTGGAGTTCAGAGGAGAAAAGGAGGTGCCAGATCTCAAATCCAATACACATTTTACACAGCAGAGGAACTATCATGCAAATCTATTTCAGTGATCTGGCTGTGTGCAGGAGGGATCCCAGATTTCCACAGTCCCTTTTAAAATAGCTGGCACATAGCAGTGAAGCTTGGCAAATGACCTCCTTTCACATCACTAGCCAGTCTTGGCTGACTAGCTTTTATAGTCAGCCTGTAATGTGAAACATATAAAATACTAATCTTACACACAGCTTACATTTTCCTTCTTTCTCACCTGATTCTGATCTCAGCAAATCAAGTCAGGGGCTCATTAGTCCCAGGCTTTACTTATGGAACACAAAACAGTTGTTCTCATGCAGTATTATCCTCATTAAATTCTTGGTTGAGGTAGGAAAAAGTAATTTTCTTTCTGGAATCTGAACAAGATGGCCTCAGCCATAAGGTTCTGTTACAGATGGATTGATGAGACAGCTGAGACAAGAATCTCTTTGCTGAACAAGCTAAGGAATAAATGCTCCTTGTGCTGGGAATGGGAGTTAATACAAAGTGTTCAGGATGAGGAAATGACTTATCTCACAACTCCCTCTCTACACTGAGCATCTCACCAACTTCCCATCACAGAATTCTCTGGCTGGTGCCTAAGCGACTCAGATGAGTTTCATTTCTTTGCCCCAGTGTTTTCCATACTTAATGCCTATTCTCAGAAATATCCCATTAACATCCACTTTCCTGTAAATGTCCCTAGTGACTTGACATTTGGACATAAGCAGCTTACGTGGCCTGAGATGCTGTTAATTTTAGCAGTGGCAAGACTTGAGATAGCAGTTCTCTCCACACAAAAATATGGGTGGCATGCTCATAAATCCAAGTGTTAGTGGTTTGAAAAGGCTGACAACTTCTCTCTGTTTCATGGAAAATAAAAGGAAGCAATTTCACTATTAAAAAAGAGGAATCTGCACATTTGCCTTGTGAGTCCACTGGCAATACCCTGCCAGTACTGCCAGCTTTATCTGGCAGTATCTTGGTGAAATACTCAAATCTGGCATATTTTACTGCTTTATAGTCTTTGTCTTCAAATACTCTTGCATGTCTGGAGAGAACTGCCAGGGCAAAAATAACTTACTGCACATTTCAGAGCACTGCCTTCAGCGTAGCCTGGATTCTGTCAAACTAAATTTCACCTGGGGAAGAAAATGAGGAAAAAAAATGGTCCCTTGTAGTCCTGAGTTCCCAGGTCACTGGGATCAATCTTGTGAAAAATTAGGTATGGACATCATCCCCACACAGAGCTGGTGGTCTGGAGGAAGCAGCCACAGTGAGGCTCTGCCCACAGGGAGAGCTGTATCCGCATACACCTCTCACACCAGAACCAGAGCTGCAGACGGTGAATCATAAGCAGTCCCCATGATGGTCTCGGGGACCTGCAGCATGCACAGCCTCCCTTTCATCCCCGGGACAGAATAGGCACAATACACCCTACTAAGGGTGTTACTGCAAAGGAAGAAAGAGAAGAGGAAATACTTTACCTCCCTTGAGTTACTCTGTGCTTGAATACCTTCAGGAAAGATGTAGGTTATTAAATTCTGCAACAGAAGAAGCCTGGTTTCTGCAGGTTGAAGTCTTGACGCTCATTGATTTTGATTTATAGGATGGTGCAAATTATGGCTGAAAGTCTGTCTGGAGCTGGGACAGGTGTAAGGCCAAGAACTCTGCTTGGTGGAGTCCCACTGCACTCACCAGCAGAAAGACCAGGAACCCTTTGTTGTCTTCCAGGACCCTTTTCTTTCTCTAGTTTGGGTGATATCACACAGCTGGTTCAAAAATTACTGTGGGGAGAGGGAGAGACCAACAACAGCATATTCCCACAAGCACAAGTTTTATAGGACACCATGTGTCTGCATCAGCTGTATAATTATTCCAATAGAAAATCTTTACACTTTAAATAGAGAAGTCTGAAAAAAAATAAAAACCTGGTGCCTGGAAGTGACCTTTCTGTTATTCTGAGTCTCTCTGACAAATGTGGCAGCAGGTCACCCTTGTATCATTGCTCGGTGCCACCCTGTCCTCCTTGTCCCTGCCCCAGACAAGTATTCCCAGAGCTGGCTGAGTTCTCAGCAGACTCCAAATTCTGTGTAGCACCCTTTTCCACTCTTGTTAACACAAACCTTGTTTCAGCTCTCCAAGTTCCACAAAACAAAG